TTTGTTTAAAGCATTCTTTAAACATTGTTAGAATTAAAATTTGTTGAGAGCAGTGAGCATTTTTCACAGAGAATTGCCAAGTTGGAAACCATGAAGCTTCTGGGTAAAGATTCCCATTTCAGAGGAAGCTCCTTGCTCTAGCAAGACTACAAAACATCACAAGAGGAAAATGTCTTGTCCATCAATTGTTAAGAGCAGTGAATGTCTTGGGAAGCTGCTCTACTCGTTCTGCAGAGCATGAGGGCCAGCAGAGCTCACTGGGTAAGAAATTAGCCTGATGTTGGTACTTGAGGGAGAAAACACACACAGCAGGACACACTCAGGAGCCATCAAGGCAGGACTCACAACCACCCTCCAGTTCCTCTGTGGTTCCTGCCCTTGTGTTAAACAGCTGAAGAGAGTGATCACTGTGCTGGCTGGGATTCAGGAACATGGATCACTTCAATCAGCACCAGTGAGGAGAGGCTCTGGGGAGAAGAGAGGGCTGCAGCTTACAGGCATCAACAGTGCGACCTTTCCATGCTGGCATGAGGGGAGGATGTGAAATGCAGCAGGATTCCCATTTCTGGCAGTCCAACACTTGGTTTGGTCCTGCACTACACTTTGGGATGGTTTTGATTAGATGGCCTCAAAACAATGTGACATTTTGAAGAGGATATTGTAATTTTTTGCTTGTTCTGTGATCCATGTTTCATTCCATGGATTATGGTAGCCAACCTGATGAGGGACTTGGGATGCTCTGAATTATTCATCATAAATAAAATTGATATAGAGCTGTCTGTTAATCATGCTAATTCAAGCTTTCACCTCTCTGTTTCACAGAGCTCCTATTTTTAAATACAGCTCAGGTACGCTGTGCAATTACATATGCCAGTAGTGCATCTCCTAGGCAGCAAGTTGAGTAAAGAGTAAAAAGATGCATTTCAGTCTCTCAGGAATCTTTTCTGGTGTGATGTTTTCTAAAACAAATGGAGAGCTTTAAACTATTATTTTTAAGATTGAGCCTATCTGAATTTTTTGTTAGAATTCTGAGGGCTTCTGAGCCTTTAGGTTCATTGTGGTTTGAGCTTTATTTGGGTTGGATCATTTGGAAAACACTGCTGTGATGTTTCCTCAGTAACTGTGACCAAAAAAAATTCATTTGCATTTTAAATAAAAAGTAAGGAATATGAAAAAATAATAATAATGTGAGTCAAAGAATAGATGTGCAAACCCAGCAAATGTTGTGTGATTTCAAACAAGAATAAAATTTTTTTGTAAAACTGTTAGAAGCAAATTTTCTTAATGTTTGAGGTTCATATTTGGCATTAACACTCAGGCTCTTTGGTAAATACATGGAAATGTATAGCCCTGCAAGAATTATTTCTAAATAAATACATGTCTAAACCCAGGGTTGAGCTACAAAAGTCCCTTTTGCACAACATGCAAGATAACCTTAGCTTTGTCTGAATCTCAGTGCCTCCTGATTTCAAAATCAGAACTAAACTTACCAGTGGATTTCTCCAAGAAATCCTGGAATACACTGAACCTCTGAAAGAGGCATTTTGCAGCAGCAGCATGGAAATGCAGGAAGGTAGGAATGAATTAACATAGCAGCACATGGGAAACTGCAGGATCAGAGAAGTGATAAATTCACTTTATGAGAATTTACTCCTACTACTGCTTCCACCTTCAGGATCAGGTTCTGGTTTGAACTCCCTGTTAGGGAACACCACAGAGCATCTCTGACTGGAGAAATCTCTTTTTCTAGCAAGGTGCTCAGCAGCAGCTCAGCCCAACTCTGGCTCTGCCAGCAGGCTGGAAAAAGAACACAATGCCTGTGGGGACACTTGCTGGGTTTTGTGGGACAAACTTCATAATCCTGAGGATCAAGGGACAATTCATTAGTGAACCAACCTGCATTTAGCATGGTTTGCAAAAACACCAAACAAGGAGCTTTAACAAAAAGGTCATTTTTGTTCCTTGAAGAGGAAATATAAATACTGTGCACACCAATTCCTGTTTCTAGACCACAGTCATGCAACCTGCTGCTTAAATCATTAATACTCTGAAAGACAAACATGCATTAAAAAATGAATTAACATCCAGGCTGCAAAATTTTAATGAAATTACATCTTAAATAGATAAAGGGCAAGACTTCCAAAACTCATGAAATTAAATTGCTTTTATTTCCTTCTTCATGCTATAGCCTTACCTTAATATTTTCATTATAATTCCGTCAGCAGCTTTGTATTGTTCTTCAAAGTAAATCTTTCATAACTCACGCTAGCTATAAATAATTTTGTTTCTAGAATGAAAAACCAAAACCTGGGCTATTTTAAGTGGGTTATGTGACCACTGTTCCTCAAGGGAAATAGAAATACCACTCCTCACTCTGGTGCAGAGTCATACTGAATATGCCTTTCCATGCTTGGTGTGAGGAAGTTGCTCATCATGGGAGGAGAAATTCAGATGGTGACCTTACACCCCAGAGTCCAGCAGAGCTGTGGAGTAATTGATCCTGACTCCTCAGCCTCCCAAGGCAAAACCACATTTTTCTGGGAGCACAGAAACTACAAGAAACACAGAAAGGCGAACTACTAAAGTATTCCTCTCTGAACAACTGCAGGAAACACCTGAAAATTGTCTGATTTCCAGCTTGATAAGACAGCCTGAATTGCAGGAGGAAGCAGAATTCAAAAATGAGTCTCTGCCTTCTTTGACATAGGGAGATAAAGTCACTTCAGCTGAAATAGATCTGAATTCCTGATGGATCCCATCAAATATGATCATAAAAAAGTCTCTTAAATATTGAAACTGTAAGTTTTATTGTACATTGCAATAGTTTATTTTTTTTAAGGGGACACCTCTATAACCACACTGGGCCTTAATCAGTTGTCAGTAACATTCATGCAAGATTAAGAAAGCCTACTGAGGATAAGAGCAGGTGCTGAAGAAAATATTTTATCTGATTAAAAGTGAGTGATAAGGGCATGCCAAATTGCTGGGGAGTAGTTGCCACAGGACAGTCAATGATATGATATCAATCAGGGTGCAGCAGAGAAATCCACAGTGATGAATTAGTGATGGAAAGCCCAGAGAAAACTCCAAGTCTCTGCTAGGCATCAATAACATGGATTTATAAGTACAAAATGAAATGCAAACTACCCAAGTTAACTGCATCTTATTCAATCATGCCTTCTGTCTATTTACCTACTTTTATTTTAAGCATATTCATCTATCATTTTCATATTCATTCTGTAACTAGGAGCAAGGTTTCCTTTGAATGATGATTTCATTAGGGAATGTTCTGCCAGATAGTGATGCTTCTAGAGTTACTACATTAATTCTGTCACTTCTTTTACCTTCTATTTCTATTTCACACAAATTAAAAAAAAAAAAAAAGAAACCTACATGCTGATAAGAAGAGGATGCTATTTTCATGTATTTGGCATAATTTAGATGAAAGTTGAACCTTCAAATAATACAGAGTTCACAAAACAGGACTGCTTACCATGCTAACTGAATGAGGCTGTAGCTTATCAGAAAATTATTACAAAAGACAAGATTTACATTATTTAAAGTCAGAGCCAAGTCAGTCCTCACTACCTTTAGGAGTTCTTGGAAAAGTCCACTCTTTCAAAATACCCTTTGGTGCAAGCTCTACGTGCTCCTTACCACAATCCAGTCATTCCTGCAGTTATATTAAACAGCTCTCTCCATACGAGAAAAACCATGAGAGAAAGCTTGTGATAAATCATGGAGTCACCAGAAAAATATGTAATAGCAACAAACTCAGTGTATCTGCCCCTCCCATCTGAAAGGGGATGGAAGAGGACACACTCAGCACAAGGACTGTGCACTCAAAACATGCTGGAGCATCTACATTGCCACAGCATGAAGAGACATGTGCTGTCCAAAACCAAAAGTGACTTCGAGCCTACTTCTACCTCTATTCCAGCAAAGTTCTGCCAGTTCAGTCAGAGCAAGAATATCTGGATAATTTTCATGCAGGGACCATTTGGACCTTGCCAGCAGAGCCTGTGGAATAAAATGTAATGCACTAACCTATTTCTTCCTGCACTACAGCCCTTTGCCCACCAAGAATCCTGGGGAAAAGGCATAGTATGGGAGGGAACAGAACAGACAACTCATCACATTTCTCAATCATTGTAAGCTTTCACCAGCATCATCTGTTGTCACAAGTCTCCTCCAGAGAAGGGGGTTCTGACCACCAGGAAAAAGCACCAACCATATTAGGATACTGCAGTGCTGAGCTAAACCAAGCTACCCAAAAGAAACATTTCACATTCCTGCATCAAGGACACTGAAGGCAACTCTATACAGAAAAATTATTGGTCTTATTAGGAGGAAAAATGAACTTGCTTTTAAATTTTATTACCTATGTTATATTAGCTTCAATTTGAAGTAGGAAACAGAGGTGGTGGAATAAGTAAAATTTGTTGAAAACAGACAAAGCATTTGTGGTTTTCCTAGTGGTAACCAGGATAAATTAGGTGCTCCTCACCCAGGCTCACACTTTGGGCTGTGCTAGAGACTTCTCATTTCTGCAAGTACAAAGTGATGATTTTGTTCTAAGCACACAAGGTATTGAGACATTAAACACAGGGAACTGCATCACCCCCTCTGCAACTCTTCATCAGCCTCTGCATCATCCCTGGATAACTGACAGACTCAATTTAAATTCAGTCCCCAAATGAGTGACATTTTCAGGTCAATGGGTAGGATTTTGTTGATGACAAGTACAAGATTTTGACCCTGCAATACATGGAAACCCTTTCATGATACTAAAAATGTGAAGTTTTAATGGGCTACAGAGGCTCTTTCTGACTTTGTGCCATGAAGTCCCCAGGGGAGGTTTCACCCTGCTGTGTTGCCTCTGTTGATGCATGGGCATGCAGTAGGACCCAGTAACCTGTGGAGAACCCCAGTGAATGGTCTCACACCAACACACACAAACAAAGGGCTCAGAAAGCCTCTGCAGGAATTACTGCACCCTCCTCACCTGCTTGAGCACTGCAGGAACAGGTCCCAGCTATTTGCTTTCCTCCTCTGCTGTCACATCAAGGTTTGTTGCTAGCTAGGAACAGATTTTAGATACTTCTGCTCTTCCCACTCTGAATCCAGGCCACTGATCAAATATGGAAGGTGAAAAGTCACCTAAGAAATCATCATTCAATGAACTTGAAGAAACAGAACTTGTATTTCTTTCTACTTTTCTCATTCTCTGGAAAAATAAGGTAAGATAATAAGACAATCGCCATAAATAATAAATGTATAAGAAATAATTATACAATAAGTTCAAATCAGCATCTGATGTGTCTTCCCATTTTTTAGGGAATTACACTGAGTACAATACAAAAAACAAAGTCTATGAAACAGTCAGACACCTCATTAATAAGAATATTGGGTCAAGCCTTACTGATCAAGCACTGATAGGAAAAAAAAAACAATTAAAATCCTCTTACAGCACTCCAGTGGAAATGAGTCAGCAATCACAGACAGTTCTCATCAGATGATTTTTTCTGGTGGAAAAGTTGTTTATAGGTTGGCACTAGTATTTATTTAATGGGGCAGAGGTCAGGTAAAGGTCAACACTGAGCTGTGAGAATGAGAGATGGAAAACCTTTAGTAACTTCCATCTTTTTTACTCTGATCCCATGAGAAGACTGGGATAAAGTCCTCAGCACAGGTGGGAACACATCAGCATGCTGATGGTAAATGACAGAGAGTCAAAGAGGGAGGAAGAGAAGCCAGTGAGAAATACAAATCAAGGCAGGTAAGACAGTGCCCAGATAAGCCCTGACTGTGCCAAACCCTTCCAGGCAGTTTGAAGGGGGTCAGTGTTGGCTCTTTTAACGCATTCCTCAGAATGAAAACAACCTTCTGCTTAAAAAGACTGAAGGTTTTAAATTCAGGCATTGCAAATCAGAAAAATGAGTAACAGTGCTCTTATACCCCCATAAAATGGTTAAAAAAAATACCCTGCCAAAAACCAGTGCCATGTGTAAGAGACCTGACCATTAGAAACACTAAATTTGCAGAGCTCCATAAGAAAATTTTAGAAATATCAAATGTTTAAAACCAGAACAGCTGAAATGAGGTTCTTTAAACAGCTTCAGTACAAGTGATTGCAGTCTTAGCTCCCTTCATAGGAGGGGAGAAATGGTTGCTTGTAGGATGTAGCTACTCACATCCTATGGTATGTGGCTAAAATAGATTTGATATAATTGATCACTGCTGGGATATGAAGATACAGGTATGAATAGAAAATGCCAAACTTCTGTAAGTTTCAAAATAAACCCTCTTTCATTCAAAGTACTCAACCTTAGCACAAGTGGAAAAAAAAAAAGCCTCAAACTTTCATTCAATACAGCATTTCTTGAAGAACAAAAAAAGGCACAAAATTGATGCAGGTCCACAGATTGTTGCATTAAGTCTGCTATACACAGCCCACGCACAGTAACATAAGGGTAATGTAAAAACATGCATTAGGGATGAAGATCCCTCTCTCCCCCTATGAAAGGATGAGCTGAGAGTCGATGGTGGGTGTGTACTGCTAGCAAAGCAAACACTTCACTCTCTGTGGGTGAACATCTCATGCATGCTCTTTATTATAAAGCCCACTGAAAACTTGAAGCTGCTTTCCTGAAGGAGCTGTTGTGTAACTCTGACATCTGGGGTTTTCAGTTGCTGCCCTGTTTGAGCTGGTTATGGAACACATTAAACCCAGAAGGCCCCACTTCAGCTGTGTACAAACCTTCCCCTCTCCCATCTTTTCCAGCAGGCTCCAGCCCGGTGCTGGGACTGAAGGCTCAGGCCTGGCTTTGTGAGATAAGCCACACCATGGACTGCAGCAGGCCTTGTTTAAAACACCACATTCTGAAGAGTCCAGCAGAACCAGGACTGTTTTTCTCAGAAGTTTAATGTGATGCTATAGCTTTGGATCCACCCAAACAAGCTGCTCTGACTATAAAAATGATGTTTGATTCCACATGTATGTGTAAGTATGTAAGCCCCTAACTTACATAACTTGCCTGGTTACACACACCACTCATTCCTTTGTTTGTCTTTCATTATTATAGTCAGGAACCAGGGAGCAGGTCCATGCCTATCATGCCAATAGCCCTACTAAAAAATTCAAGTGAATAAATCAAATCAAACCCTCTTTTCTGTTCACAGCTCATTAACACACTTTGAATTTGCTGCTGAAAATAGCTGTGCATTTGTCTGCGCAGTTCTCCACATGCACACAAGGTGCTCACAGCAACCCCGTGCAAATATCAGAGCTTCAGAATTCCTGTGAAGGGAACAGGCTGTCACAAAATGTTTTGGGAGCTGAGACTGTAGGGATTCAAAAAGCAGCTAGAAAACTTTGTGAAGGAAAACCACCACAAGTTTCTATTAAACCCAAAGACTTTGGGATCTTTGAATTCCAAATCACTGAAACCTTTGGAAAAATGCTGTAAAAGTAGTAGCATTATAGGTGTTCCCTCTGCTTATCATCTACCTTAAGCAGCAAGGTGAGTCCTGGAAAGAAGTCACTGGATGAAACCCATGACTGGCCATGCCTTTATCTGGCCCATATCTGCCTTTCTTGTGTGTCAGTGTCTTATGAGAAGACACTGAGAAGTATCATTCTGCTTTTCTTATTTTTCATGGTTTTTGCAGATATCTGCTACACTAAAAAGTCAAACTATTGCATATATTTATGGTAGAAATTCCCTTTTATAAAACATTCAAAAAACACTCTCTGTGTAACCATGGTATTTAAGCTGATTGTTTCCATTTCAGCCTTGCCATGAGAGTTTGTGATAACAAAGAGTATCAATAGGTTCAAAAAAAAGCGGCTGCACATAAATCATGGACAACAGGTCCATAAATGGAAAATAAGAGGAACAGGCAGGAATGTTGCCTTGATATCCCTAAACCTAAAAGTTTGGGCTCAGGGACAACAGGAAGGGAATGAATCTCAGGATGTGAGCAGACATGTCAAAAGCTATGTCAGACTTTATGCTCAAAACCCTCATAGCAGTGTTAGTTGTTGTTTCTGATGAGGTCTACAAGACTCCATGAAGTGTAGAGTGGGAGCCCAAAGTGGATAATACAATGGATTAGCCAGGAGAAAGGAGGAGTAGCACATAAAAACTTAGTAATACAACATCACTATTCTTTACAAAATTAAAAACTATGTTTTAGAAAGCAGGATTTTCTATTGCTAAAAAAAAGTTAATACCTGTGAACCGCTGCCAATGTGTAAGCATCTCTTTAACTAAGACTTAACACTAGCCATACTACAGAGAGGAAATTATGCAAATAATTGCACAGAAATCTATGAGCACATGGGTAGCACTGTGGTTTTCACAGCAATGATAGGCACTTGGACCTCAGACTCCATCTACCCTAAACAGAAGGGCCTGACTGCAGCTTAATAACTCAGCCCAAAGTGAAGTAAGTAGGTCAGGTGTAAGAGCTGTGCAGCTGCAGTGGCATGGATCTCAGCTGGAGAGGAACCAGACCTCCCTGGCAGCTGCACTGGGCTCTGTGCAGGAGCAGCTATTTCTTAGAGGGACCCAGCAATTAGTCAAAAGCTAATTTGGGAGAAGCTACGTGAGCAGCAGTAACATCATGAAATAGCAGAGTGCTGTTTGGGATGTGCCACTCCTCACTTTCCTGTACTGGGGAAGAGGACACTTGGAACCCAACAACTCTGCCACACAGAAAACTTTAGGCCTATAAACACATTTACGGGCAAGGAAGATTAATTAAAATTTACCTGCAGATTTAAGAATTGTTATAGCTGCCAATGAAGTGCAGAATATTTTGAGTCATTAACCATGAATTGTCCAGTCTCTCACAGTTTCTGCTTTGCCCATCAGCAAACTCTACTGAACCTGACTCTGATTTCACTTCTGTCCCTTTGAAGCAATGGAGCTATTCCAGCACAGAGTCAGAGCAAAGTCAGAATCCTGTGCTTCTCACTGCAGTGCCTACATGCTGACAGGATGTTATGAAACCACAAAACCATTCCAAAATGGCACACAACACATTTCTTGGCCTACGAAATATGCTCTACAATAAGCTAATTGTTGATAAAAGCCTCTATCATGTTGCTAATTTTATCTGTAGAAAAGCTACTGAGAAGAATGGCAATCCTGACAGGTAGATTCTTGAGTGATGTGAAGTACTGAAGTATGTACAGGATGCTGTGCTTTTATTACCTAAGCACTAATGGCAATTTCAGAAGAGGAATTCAGGTAAAGTGGCACATAAGAGGAGATCAGTCAGAAGAGTAATAAGTCATAAGTCAGGCTAGTGACTAACACTGGCAGGAATATAACCAGTCAGCTGGCTGTGGTTTTAAAGTTAGGTAGTATATTTACTGCATAAAAACAAAATATTAAAGGATTTGGTGGAACAAAAAGCATTTAAATCCACAAGATCCAAGTCTATCACAATATCACTCTGTTTTACAGAACCCAGGAGATGTGAGGAGTCTTCTAAAAAGTCAAGCAGAACATCAACAGCAGATTCAAGATTAGTTCAGGAATCTTGCTTCCCTGTGGTGTGTATGCCTTACTTACCTGATGTCAGTGACAGGAGCTGTCCTTTGTGTGGAAGAGAGCAAAATTTTCTGACTTGCCTGACATATCACAGGCTGTGTTTCCATACAGTTCATCACAGCCTAGTCAGTGATAACCTAATAATAAAAAGCCATATTTTTAAAGAAATTAAATGTTTCCTTCAACAACAGAATTCCTCATCAAAATGCAACTGGTTCCAAGCCCTGCAAAGTGCTGGATCAAATCAGTCTATAAACACACTGTATAAGCACACCACTATTTTTGCCTTTGGGAAACACAATTAAATTTTTCTCAGTCATTTCACAGCTGATTTTTCCAATGCACAAGAACTCAGCTGTCTTTTGGGAGTGCAACAACACAGCTGCCTTTTTATGTGGGAAGGAGGAGTATAAAGTAACCAATCCCTCTCACATGCAGCCCTCTGTGGACTGGCTTTTGCAAACACAGGGCCACTTAGGGCCCTAAGTGCCTTCTTTCATGAGCTGTGTCCATGCCTGCCATGCACACACAGCAGGGCCTGATTTCCCATGGCCTTTCTCAGTGCATGGAATGATTCCATGGGTGTGCTGGAGCATGCCTGGCTTGTGAGCCAAGCAAAGATTTAGTTCATGTGCACAGCTCGCTTGCTCCTGCCTGTGTGGCAGCACCTGAAAAGAAGCTGGCAAGGGGCTGTTTTGGCCAAACATTCCTCCAGCCTGAGGCCTCCTAGGGCACAGGTCCTGTAAATACTTGTGTGTTTAATGCTGCCCTGCCATGGGCATCTGCTTGCCCATCACACATTTCCAATCAGCTCCTGTCCGGCTAAATGCAGTTCAGGGCTCGGGGTCATCCTCCCTGTAGGACCCAGGGCACAATGACAAAGCATTCACACCCTGTCCTTTATCCTCTACTCTCTGCTGTACTTGGTAACCATCAGTGTTTTTACCAAATTGAGATCATGCAAGCATAAAATTAAAATGACACACTTCTAACAATATGTGGCAGCTTCCTATTCACTTTCACAAATCTAAGCATCATAATAATTGTTTTTTTATATAATCAGAACAAATTACAACCAAAGCAACAGATTTCAGTCAATACAAACCCAGAATATTACAAAAAAAGTTTATAATTCACAGAGATTAGCCAGAAGCATTTTTCCCCTCCTGCTTACCTCTGTCCCTGCTCAGGTTAGGCAGCAGGGAATTCCATTGCTGCAGGCAGCCTGGTGTCCAGCTTTGAGAGCAAAACCTGCAAGACAAGGGCTCTGTCAAGGAGTGGCACAAGATAAAGAAGACACAGGAGCATAACAAATGTTTTCTAGATTTCTAGAAATGTGCTGGAAGATGAATTTCTTTCCCTGAGTTTATTTTGGGACAAACAGTGAGAGCCTTCAAGCAAACAGAAACCTTCCTCAGTGAAGCTGTAAATGCTATTTCCCACATATATTGCATACAAATCATGAGAAGAGTTTTGAGCCATTCAAATCATTACCATATTATTTCAAGCATTCATTTATTATACTGCTTATTTAGCATGCCAGCCTTCACACTTTACAAATGAAATGCTTTTAGTAGGAATGGATGGGTAGGAATTACTTGATGAATTTAAAAGAGCCAAAACCTTTACAGTGACCACTAGAAAGCAGTTTGCAGGGCATGGCTGGTGATGTGAGCCCTCAGTCAGGGCACAAGGAATCAGGATGGAAGAGGCAGCTTCCAGAACATTCACTGCAGTGCAAGTCTGGAGCCAGGTGACAGCACAGGGGGCAAGAAGATTTTGGCAAGTGTCATCTGGTGTGCAATGTCTGTGGTGGTGGTTGTACAGGTATTAATGAGAAAGTTTGTAACCACTTAAAGGAAATGACACTTCGGAATTTTAAACAGCTAATAGATCATCCCAGAGACCCTGAATAAGTACTTGAGCAAATCATAAACATTTCTGAAATGGAAGCATAGCACATATTGTATGTAGATTTCATTAAAGAACCTGGCACAGGTAATCACACCTTTATATGTAAAAACACATTTTTCATTTAATGATAGAAGCTAACAGAGGGAAGGTTTATGGGTATAATTATTATTGCTAGATTGATCATTTTCAAAAAATAACTGGATTGCCCACAGCAGACAGGCCCCCTTGGCAGAAAAAAAATGAAAAGTTAATTCTAAGTTAGAAGACAAAACTGCCCTAGAAAAGGATATGTAGCTCTACTTGCCTGGCAAAAACTGTAGGATGTACATCTGGTCTGCACCACTGATAGCTCTACCTTTTCATGACTGCTGTGGTGGGAAGAGATGCTTCCCTCTTGAAAAGCAGAGTGGCATCAGATGGGATGACAGTGGGATAAAGGATATGGCCCACCCTTTTTTTAAGGTTGCAGTACATCAATTGAGAAATTAGTAACTCAGTAATGATATATAAAAACAGGGAAAATTGATGATCCTTTCAAGGACAGGCCATGCAAGCAATGACTGAGAGTGATTTTCATCTGAGAGCTCGTTACATGCTTACATGAATTAAATTTTTCTCTTTCCAACGATGGGATGTTTCCATCCAGAAAGCCTCAGAGTTGGCAACTAAAGCAGAGTTGAAAAAGCAACTGTATCCAGACCCCAGCTTTATCTGCACAGAGGTACTTACTTGGGGGCATCAGAAAGGCAGCACAGGGAAATGTCTCTCCGTTGTGTATACTGGGACTGTATGGATAGAGAGAAGTCATGGTTCAAAGCTGGTGTTTATTAAAGCTTCTATAATTAGAGAATACAGATGTTTTCTTTATGTGCATAATGTAAACTCTACATTGTGTAAATGCAGCAACAGTGAAGTGAAAGTTTCCAGCGCATAATTTTTCTATGTGACTATTTTAAAGTATTTTAACTATTATTTTCAAAAAACACCTATGAAGATAACTTAGCAAACGGTCTGCAAGGAAAGCTGATTTACTATGGTGCAGTGAACCTCATTCTTTTCATGCTGAAAAGATGAAAACATAGGTTTGCTATAAAAGCACTGCATAAGTGCTAAGAAGCCGCCTGTATAATTTGTGTTTTAACTCAGCGTGTTGACAGAGCATTCTTGGTCTCAAAGGATATGATTAATTGTGGGCTGAGGGGACGTTTCCTCAGTTTCACTGGTCCTGCAGAACACATTGGAGCAGGTTTGGCCCCATAATAACGTCACTGAGTGCCTGAGCAGAGGCAGCTTGCATCCAAGCTGCTCAAACTGGTTGTACCTGTATGGATGGGCTGTGAGGACTTGGCCACAGCACCAGAGGGAGTCAGGAGGAGAACAGGACAGCCTAACCCAGCTGCAGATGAAGCTGGTAACATAAACATCTGTCTTATGCTGGACAATTCCTGCCTTGCTATGATTGGAACTCACAAAAGAAGGACCACCGCTGCCTGTAGGCACCAAGGCATGGCACAGAGATGCCCAAATTATCTTTCAGTGTCACAGCTCTGGCACTGCAGCAGAGACATTACAATGCAGAGCCCTGGCTCCTCAGCAGGGGGATTTAATCTGCAAGGGCTCTGTGCTCCTGTCATTGCCAAGGAGGCAGGCAAAAACCACTCCTCTTGAACTTCGCCTGGTTTATATTAATGGCTTTCACTGCTTGAGGTGTTTTAATTGTGTTCTATTGCCAAAGGCTTTGTAATACCTTGATGATGTTTTATGTAGAAGCAGAAGTTTCTGGTTGCTTGAAGACTGAGATGACACCCTGAGTAATTGCACAGCTTCGGAAGATGATATTTGAGCATATGCCCGACAATTTCACATTCGCATTTGATAACCTCATAATTTAAATGAATAATCTAAAATCACAACAGAAATGCCCCAGTGGCTCTGATGCATTTATTTTTAAAAGCAATTAGCATACAGGCTTCCCAACACTCCCAGCTATCTAGGCAGCTTTTGATACAAATTAACTGGATGCTGATAAAGAATAAAGCAGCACCATGGGGCTCACCTCTTCTGAATTGTACCTAAGATTCCCATTGAAGCATAGTCACTTTCTGGCAGGGCAGTATTTGGTGAGGTGACAATTGCAAATCATCTATTCTGCTTTATTTTAATGCAGACAGCACCCCAATCCAGGTCACAGGATTGTCCCACAAACAGCTTGAAGGAGGGGATGAGGTCTGTGCCACAGCAGTGGGAGCAAGTTGGGAAGCTGGCAGCCTAACATTGCCTAACACTTTGTCCTGAAAATCATTTTACTGCCTTTTTTTTTCTTTTTTATTTTTGGAGAAAGCTTGTTCTCTAATAACACTATCTTAAAGTCTGAAGTGGAAGACATTATTAAAGTTAAGTGGAAAATATAATTTATAGATCTTATAGATGAAGGAAGATGCTTTAATTCTCCCTTCCAGACTTACTAGCATTGTTGAGTAAAATACATTTTTCCCTCACAGATGACATGGTCACAGCTATGCAGCTGAGCAGCATTCCTCTTTGGATGAAGACTTCATCCAGCCCTGATAAAACTACTGTTAATTCGTGCAACGCAGATCCTGCTCTCATTGAAACCCATCTTGTATGCTCATTATATTTATAATATATGTACAAAGCTGACCACAAAAGCCAAAGGAATGCTGTATGGCAAGCTTGAGATTTTACTATTTACAGAGATTGTGCCACTATGTATTTTCAGTTTTTACCTCTTGATGGTTTTTGCAGACCTTTATGTGGAGATATGCACAGATAAGATGCTCAGATAGTGGAAACCTGAGTGTCTGGCCCAAGTCAGAACTAAATCAGTTACCTCAAGATTTGATCCAGGCTTTTGTTGTTCAAAAGCTTCTTGTTTCTCACTGAAGCCAGTGTTCAGAGTTTTCAGTGTTTCCATGTGCTGCTTTAAAGATAGTCTGGCTGCCAGAAACAGGGAAGGATGTCTGTGTGAAAAAAATAAGCAGCAGGAGCATAGCAACCTTTAACCCATAAGGGTTCATAATTTTCAGGAAAATGTACTTAGTAATTAAAACCAAATGGAAATATATGGTGAAAATTATATATTAACAGAATTGGCTTTTTAGAAATGTTTTCCTGGGGTTTTTTGCCCCCACTATTTATCAGCAATTTTAAACAAAAATTATTTAGATGACTACATGAATTAATCAACACAGAAATAGATGACAAATCTGAGGTAAAAACATATGATTGCTTAATTCAAACTACTGCGCATTTCCCTTTTTTTGGCACAAAAACCCCTAAACACCATTAAAATACACAAATGAGTCAAAGCTCCCATAGAGTTTTACTACATCAATATATTTTAAAGGATTCTCTTTAGTTTTGCACTTTATTTAAAGTTGATTTTTTTTCTGCCTAGAGAGTGGGATGACTTTTCACTTCCAAAACTTCTTACCTTTGTTTGAACTGTTCCACCTGTATTAATCCTTCCTCTCTGATTTTTAAATATTCAGGATCTTATTAGCAGATCAAAATTGCTGATGATTTTTAAGCACTTGATTCATTTTCCTTCACCTTCTCTAACTTGATATGGATGTTGCTCCTTATGAATGAGACATTGTGAAAGCTGTGAATTATCCTGTACTGAATCTCACATCCCTCTTGGTAAAGAGGGATTTGAAAAAAATCAATTTCTAAATAATTATTCTAGTCCTTAGATGAACAGATTTATTTTGGTAAAGGAAAGAAGGGCAACAAAAGGTAAAAAGTAATCTTCAAATAAATATATTTAGTGATAAAAAATTAATTCTCCTTTATGTAAAGAGGCCATCATCCACTGCAGGCACCAATAAACTTCAGGGTTTATAAATATAAGTCCACTTACTGACCAGAATTTAAATTTTAAGATCTGTCTATAGCAAGGAAATTAACCATATTTTAAAAGGCACGTGCATCAGATATACATGTCTTCTCATGCCACATATTTTACTGTATTAGAGAACTAGAGAAGAGGGAGAAATGCTCATTTAAAAGAAATAGTTACTGCTGGTCATACACAAAAGACTGTACATACTGCTAGTTAGATACCATTAAAATATGTAATTGGGAACGACTTCTGTAACACTTCCAGAGGCTTAAGTTTACAGAATTGTCCCAATGAAAAAATATTTTTCCATATGTGAGCAATCCTTTGAATTTCAGTAGTCTCTAAACCCCTCCTTACCTTGCCAAAGTATGAAAAAAGGAAAGAGAACTCTATTCCATCTCCTGTTTTGATTTATTACTGGTTTATTTGACATTTCTTGTCAGAGTAAATGGCCTTCAGCAATACACACCACAGTTAAACAAATGCCAAGTAAAATCAGATAATTCTGCCATAGGTCCTTAGCTTTCAGTTGTGTCCTTGGCTGAAAAATTCTTCCATGTAACTTGGAAAGCAATAATGTCATCTTATCAGTCCTACTAAAAACCTGAAAATAATTTCCTCCTGTTAACAAGGATTTTATCTGTATTTTCATAGATACAAATATTCACTGAAAATTCTGCTTAGGGAGTACACAAAGCCCAGTCTCATGTCATTTGAAATCTGCAGACATAATAAAGTGCAAAACCAGATAACTCAAAATTCCAAAAGATGCATAAATTAATTTTTAAAATGTTGTGTTCTTTTATACTTCCTATAGAATAAGTCTATTTATTTTATTTAAAATTAAATTTAAAGCAGGACAACATACATTAAGCTCTAACAAAATTTATTCAAATTCTCAAAACATAAGATTTAATGTCTTGAGCAGTTCATGTTTGTGTAATAGGCCAAACCTTAGCATCAATGGGCAAAGTCATTAAGTAGACTGAGACTTTACTGAAGTGATATTTCTGAGGTTTTGGCAGCAGCTGCCTCACTTGCAGGTGTAAAGAACATTCCTCTAATGCAATTATTTCAACACTCATCTCAAACAAATTTGTGAGCTAATTGGTAAATTAGTTTCTTTTTTACTCCAAAAACTGTAGTAAGAGGTTCTGTCAGTTCAGAAAATGGACAAATACAGTAAACCACAATATGTCTGTTTACTAATCACATATAATGTTTCCTCTGGGGTAGAAGCAGAGCAAGGAAGTTGCAATTCAATAGCACTTTTTAAAGTTTTAGAAATTTGATGTTATTTTTCAATGTTTTCTCTACATTTTCATGGAATCCACTTTTGAATGAATGTATAATTGGGTGGAAACGAAGTCAAGCTAGTACCATTTCAGCGGTCAGTGTTCTTATTGGTGATTCTCAATGGCCATTCACAATTGTCTAATAAAATTAAATGAAAAAAAAGGCAAAAGGCATCTACTGTATTTCATAATTTCTTTTAAAATATTAATGTATTTCCCATTGAATATTTCCCTTAGTGAGCTTTGTACTCACTTGCAATTGAAATCTTGAATGGCTGCGAGAGAGAGGAAACCTACTTGACTAGATTTACTAGAGAAATGATCAAGGCAAGTTTAGAACTATTATTTGATTTTAGTCTTCTGATTGAATAGAATCATCAGTAAAAACATGAGTAAAGTTGAACCTTTGCAGGTTTTATTGCAGTGCAAGCAGCGTTGCTTGAGTCACAGCTGAGACATCGCAGTGTGGAGACATCATGCTTGTAACTCACCTGTGCCAAATCCCAATACTCAAGAAACTGAAAGGGTCAGGCCAGAGATGATCAGAAGAGCATTTTGGTTTGGGAGCTACAGGCCAACACAAGCTTGATCTGGGGACACCAAAGATGCTCAGCCTTTGATCCAATCTTAATGTTCCCGAGGCCTAGTTTTTCAGGCAGGATCCACCCATGAAATGCCCAGTGGATGAAGCTGCTGTCAAGAATGCATATCTACAAGGTCACCAATTTTAACATAAAACATTTCAGCCAGGAACTTAGCAAGGGTTATCCTGGCCAATGCAGAGCTGGAGATGCTTTAAACCAAGGTCACTGCCAGGCCTCTCCGAGCCACAGCCTTCACTGGAGACATTTCCATGCCACAGACAATTCAAAAATAAACACAGCTACCACACAACACCTCTCAGTGCCCCTTTCCCCCCAGGAGATCTGGTTCCCATGGCAGTGGGGCCACCTTCACCTGCTGTTTGGTAGCACATCCCCCTTGCACCACCTCCTCCCTGGCACGCCCCAAACACATCCAATGTGCAAATTCTGGCAGCTTTGTTAAAATTAACAGCCCGGGGGCTGCAGGGATGTAAACTCAGCCTCCACTCTCGGATGTGGATCACTGATAACCCTCCCAGATCTCGAACAAACAAACAAACTCCAGAAATGCCAACCATGTGTCATGGAGTTACTGCTTCACGTAACCATGGCAAAGTGTGGGCAGCGAGCAGAGCCGTGATCGTTTGGAATGGTTTAAAATATTCTTTCTGTCATGAGGGAGGCCAATGGATGGCCAAAACACAAAGAGGGCTCAGACCAACCATGCGATCCAGGATTAGGGACCAAACCGGGGCTGGTGTTTCTCTTTGCATTGGACCTTGTCAGAAAATATCAATCTAATGAGAAAATTCAAAATTGTGTTTCATTTTTACATAGCTCATTTCCCTTTATCCCGTAAGATCTAAATCTCTAAGCATTCAGGACCATGATATCAAAGTAAAAGGGACCCAGTGCACATCCCTTTGTCCCCTCTTTAAACTTAAAAAGCCATCATGAGCAGCCTGTTTACTCCCTGGGCATGTCTACATAACTAAGTCAATGACAACATATTTAGGAAGATTTTGCTGGTTAGCAGCTATTATTGTTATGAAGTCTAATGGTAAACTAACATTTAGTGTAATATAACTGCACATTTTTATAGCTTCTTGAAAACCTCTTAGTACCTCATCTGAGCCATGATTTTTCCATACCATTTCTATTTTAATAACAGCATCTCCACACCAGCTGACAACTTTCGCATGTTTTATTTTTCCCCTCTCTGTTGCAACATGACCAAGGTTATTGCAAACTGCCATTCTCTTCTTATTTTATTTTTACATCCATCTTATCTAATATTACTCATCTGTTACAGCTGCAAAGCCACATCAGTAAAGCAGACTGCTATGCAACTGTGCAGCCCAGCAGAAAGCACTTAAATTTATGTACATGAGGGCCCTTTGGATATTTTTTTTTATTTTTTTTATGATAGGAAGATGAGTAAAGCAGAGACACAGGTGCCTGCTGCCACTTGAGAAAATTGTGGCCTTTCTCTCAGCTCCGTTGAGTCACTCTGAGTCGCAGGACTCACGGACATTTGGCTGTGTGGGCCCTGCTCAACAGCATTGTGAGGGGCAAAAATGGCTGAACGGCATCCATATGGCTGACAGCTTGCTGTGACGAGCAGCCAGCTCAACAATTTGTCAGCAGAAGAGGGCAAAAAATACATTCTGAATATAACTCTTTCAACATATTCATTTTGGAGGAGTAGGTAGTTATCCAACATGCTGTACGTTCATCTGGTGGAGAATAACTACCAATAAAGCCCTTTGTTTTCTGGACGTGCAATACCTGAATAGTTTGAGGGAGTTGTCATCACAATGAGACCTATAGCCAGAAATTGCAAATAGTGATGTGACTTAGGGGGTGCTGAGCTGTTGGTATAAAATCAGCAGATTGGAGGTAGAGAATAACGTCACTGGAGTGAAAATACTGAATACAAAATAGGATCCTAAAATTTTCCACCATTTATGTCTTTCAAGAGATTGTTTCCATATTGTATAATGAGCTCTTGTATGCACAGCATGTTTATATAACTCAGCATCAGCCTTGTGATGCCTCAAATGTCTTCATACATCAAAATCTTAGTCTAAGATTATACCTGCCCTGCCTTCTCACTTAGAAACACACACAGTCCATCTGAAAATGTTACCAGTCTTTATTTTCTCACTCTCAGGCAGTACCTGACATCTCTTCCTCTTAATTATCTTTGAGCATTATCATCTATTAACATTACCTTCCTCTCAATTATCTTTTGCATACTGGAGGCATGCAAAACACTTAAACAGCAATAAAGTGACACTGGCCAACCTCCTCCTTATCTCTTTTCTCTCTCCACTGCAAGAACCCTGTGCCCTAAACATTATTTATGGGGGAAAAAAAGGTGGACTTCTTTAGTGATGTCTGTGTTATGGAAGTAGTAATAGCACCTATGGGAACAATATTTTCTTTATTATTTTATCAAATCTGAGCTAGAGAGTGATCAACACTAACAATCTCTCAAAAACAAAATTACAGAAATAAATCGAGGAGAAGTTACAGAAGAAGTAAAAGTGATATATTCATTCTTCTATCTTCTTTCCTTCATGGAATGCTATCCTTCTATTTATTACTCCTATCCCTTAATTATAACAGAACAGGAATCTGCAAATTATGACAGAGTGAGTTACACTTTCTCTTCTCCATACAACCCACTGGATTAAGGACCTCTCATTCCTAGTACAGTAGCCTACCAATTCACAGTCTTTTTTAGAAGATCTGATTCTCATTGTGGATATTTTTTGATACAAAATTTTACACACACAAGTAATTGCAGGCAGAGTTTTGCTC